TCTCTCTCTCTCTCTCTCTCTCTCTCTCTCTCTCTCTCTCTCTCTCTCTCTCTCTCTCTCTCTCTCCTCGTCTTCTCTACTCACGTCTTCTTCCACATACATGAAGACCATCGCTACCTCCTGCTGACTGTCCAGCCGAGCCCGGCTATGGTTGGGCTGCCTATGGTGCTGCCCTCAGCAGTGCATTGCCTCTCTTCAACACCCGTGTGCGCCTGCCTTGCACCTAGCGCTAGCGCACAGCGCACAGCGCGTGATTGCATGCGCAAGCAGCGCTGCCATATGCATTGCATAGTGCCCGACTGTCGTGACCGGAGCCCGCTCCTTTCCTATATCGAAAGTGGAGGGTGTATTGACACCCTCTTGCCTCGTCGGGCCGAGTTTCCAGTAGCTTCTGTCTCAGCCAAAGTGTCTGCGCCCAGGCTCGTTCAGAGAGTGGTGTGGGACCGAATTGGTTAGGCATGCCCAACCACCCAGGCACAAACGTGCGGTGCTCCCTGTTTCAACCACGTTGCTGGAAGAGCCTGGAAGGCTCACGCATATTTTTGATTCTCACGAGCAAAGCGGTTGGCGCGTGGCAACTGTCTGGCGTCCACCAAGATTCACAAAAATTGACGAGTTCAGGGCACATTGCGATTCAAGGGACCCGCCTTCACTTAGGGCGGGCACGCGCCTGCTGCAGGGCCTTATGGCGAGGGGCAAACACTCGCAATAGTCCCAAGAAATGCCTAGTACCGCTTAGCCCCGATGATACTAGGCTCACAACAGGACCATCTTGGGAGCAGGGAAACAATTTTTGGGCCAAGCTGTTTCACATGGTTTTTGAACCGGGGACATTCAGAGCTAATAATTTTGTCAGGGCCTTCCTGGGAGCAGTAGAATGATTTCAGTGCTAAGCTGTTTTCATTACGAGGTACCTGATTTTTTGCCTTCGCCCCGAGGATACTAGGCGCGAGACAGGACCATCCTGGGAGTTCCATCCTCTCTCCTCTTGCCTAACAAGTGTGCTCTTTGGTCTGGTGTCTTCCCAGCACTGTCCTTCTTCACTGATCACCCAGCCCCAGTGCCACCTGTCTTCCACTGTTGCATACCGTAAAGGTGCAGACCAGAACAAGAACCGACCTCTCTCACATAGTACAAGATAGCACAACGGCAGGCTTAAATACCAATGATCCGAACAATCAATGTTGCCATGCAGACCAGACATACATCATCATCATTCCATGGTGTGAAGGGGCCTGGCGCTCACACAGGAAGAATGCGCCAGTCCCCAACCATATACACGGACGAAGAAGAGCGGGCTTAGACGAAGAAGAGGGGAAGATGGGAATGTTGTCAACACCAAGTCTTCAGTACAGGTCCCAAATAATCCCTCGTCAAATGTCTGAATCCCAATGTCGAGTCTGGACCCAATTGTCGTCAAGTCCCAAAGTCACCAATCTCTCTCGCTCTCGTAGTCTGCAGATACTGAGAAGTCAGGTAGCAAGAGGGGAGGAGGAGATGGTGGACTTAGAAGAGGAAGAAGAAGAACTCTCTCTCTCTCTCAGTCCGGTACTAACCTGTGAAGGTGGCACCTTGTTGCAGATACATCGAAGACGAAGCTGGAGCTATGACGCCACAAGTAAGTCTCCCTGGCCTCCGCCAACCTTCTCTCTTTCTCCACTACTACTCTAGCTCCTGACAGCGCCCAACGCTGAAGACTACTGCTAACGCTACTACTACTACTGCAGCGCTCCTCCAGAGTGCTGCTGCCGAATCCTGAAGACTGCCTCCTCCCTTCTGCACGTGAAGTGCCTGGGAAGTTCCTATGAACTACCTCGTGACTGTCTGCAGCCTGTGGGGCGGGCCAGTCTTATATAGTGTTGTCCCGTCCAGGAGGCTCCTCTTGCCAATGCCAAAACGTGCCAGACCCTGACGTTGAAGTTCAAACAAGGGTGGTCTTGAAAACAGGCCAAAAATGGCCTGTGCTAAAACCCTGGTCTGGTGCCTAAGTTTCAGGGCAGGTCGATCTTATGAGGGCCTGAAAATGGCCTGCAATCAGACTCACTTTCTTCCCACTTCGCACACATGCAAACAGATGGAGACTCACACTAGCGCAGGGCGCCAGGCAAAGCTTAGAGATATGGAAATCAAGAACACAGTTGAGATGCAAGGTCTTTCAACAGCCTATGGCGCATCAGCGCCTGAACATCCCAACCTTCGTCACCATGTCCAACCCCACTGTTCACACACGCTCACTCTTGGAGGTGACCGGTAAGATCGTGAGCGCTTTGGCGGGGGACCTTAACCCCTACCTCCCTCTTGGCGGTTTCCTCTGCCGCCAACCCCCTGAGCGCCCTGTTCTCGGACTTGAGGCCCGACCCCCTTGGCCCTGGCCTCCTCCTCTACCTTGCGGCCTCCCTCCAGCCGCGACAGCAGCGTAGGTCCTCCCCCGACCTCCACTACTGTCCTCTTCTAGGCCCCACTCAATCTGACTGTATGGGACCTCGTCCGTACCACCTTCGTCTAACGTAAGGATCAGATGGTCCTTGCCCGTAACCTTGCCAGAGATAGTACGGCCCTTCCACTTTTTGCCCTTGACCAAGTCCTTGTGCCGGAAAGTGGAAACTGGCATGGATTGCGCTTCGAACAGCACCACCTCTCTACTCAACGCATCGTATGTCATGGTGGGATGTCGGCTCTTTTCAAAGAAGTGCACCCGTAGGGGCTCTGGCATGGCACGATAGAAGAGATTGACCAATTGGGGCTCAGTGACCCCGTGGTCTGGGACGGCTACAAGCTCGTCCATTACGCCTTTGAGTGCTCTGGCACTCCTCCACTGGCGTGAGTGGATGGTCTGCAGTTTGTCAGAGGCCCTAACGCCTCGTGCGACATCTGCGAATCGCTTCTTAACGAGTCGAAACAGGGAGAGGGGTGACCTTGGAGGAAGCGACTATATTGTTCTCGCACTGTGCAGCGCGGGTGAGCGATCTCGCGAAGCTGGCGGCCTCATCCTTGAGGGCCTGGAAGGCGATGAGGACTTGTTCCTCTGGCATGATGTGCTGTAAATAAACATACTTATTTACGTTGGCCTCCCATTAATCAAAATTTTCTTCTCTTCTCACCGTAGGACTCGGGAAACTTTATATTAATGGGTTCTCTACAGGGGCGTGGCTCTTCCTCCTGCGGCACACCCAGCTTTGTGCCCTCAATGGCGCCTGTGCAAACCTGCACTTCTGCATCTACGTGCAGCATCATCTCACGTGCAAAATCCCTAAATCCCAGGCGGATGGTGTGCAAGGCAATGTCCTGGGCTCTAGAGAACTGGTGTTGCTCGTCCCAGGCTCTGGCGAGGAGTTATATGTTTCTTGAAATAACATCTAACTTTCCCTGTACGCCTTCTTGCGCCTTTATCTCCTCTCTTTGCGCCTTTATCACCTCCAACTCTCTCGCCACCTTGTTTGCCTCCTCCATCCTTTTCTTCTTTTCCCTTGTGAGACACAATTTCCATTCCAACTTCTTCTCTTCCTCTATAGTTTGACGTCTCAGAGGGTCCTTTTCCGCTTCCCACTCCCCGATTACGGCTTCCTTCTTCCCTAAGGGGACATATAACATGGCCTCTTCCTCTTCTCCCAGAGATAAATTAGCTACCCACTTCGACACTTTCGTCTCCAACCATGATGCATCCTTCTTCGTGCCACTAGTTTCACCTCTCTTCTCCGCACTCCTTTTGAGCTGAGGTTCTTCTTTTGCTTCTTCTTCCTCAATTTTCTTCTCTTCCACTTCCTTCATCTTCTCTTCCTCCTTCAATCTTTCCATCTCCTCCTCCAACTTCTTCTTCTTCGCCGCCTGCTCCTCCTGCACGACCAACTTCTTAGCCTGTCTAATTAACTCCTTAGTCTCGTTCTCTTTTCTCTCCCGCAGTATGGCGGCGGCTTGCTCTTCCTGAGCCTGGGTGTAAAGGGTGGTGCTCTTGCCACTATGCGTCTCAACCATGGTGAAAGGTGCACAACCAAAAATCAGTTCCACTCCTCACCACTTAGACTCACACCCTTGATTGACTCAACTTAGGACTGACTCGATCTAAGGACCAAAAAATCTTAGCAAGATCCTGTCAACTAGGGTCTTTAACCTGGACCTAAACTAAGGCTGCCACTACAGGACTTACTGCTGATCGGGAGGCATTTGAAACGGTTTTCACCTGTTAGCGGTAGTGAATGCAGATCCCAGGGCTCGATCCCTAGTTATCACCTTACCTGTGTACAGTTTCTGTGTTGACCCTGAATGTTTGAACCCGTGACCTGTGTTTTGACAATTTTTGTTGTCCATCGTAGGTCTGTGTAGTGGTAGGGGTTCGGTCTGTAAATCTGTCAAGTAGGAGTCACAGCCCTGTAGAGGTCGTAGCTGTAGGAATCCTGAAAGGTCAAGGTCGTAGCTGCAACAGTCCTGAAAGGTCAAGGTCGTAGCTGCTACAGTCCTGAAAGGTCAAGGTCGTAGCTGCTACAGTACTTGAAAGGCCAAGTCCACAGACTTCCGGAAGGTCCGGAAGTGGCCTTTCGCAGCTGCCTCACGTTTCAGTCAGAGGCAAGTGGGCAAGTGGTGAGCGCAGCTGCATTACGACGACAATGCGACTGCATTGAGTTGGCAGTGCAAACCCATGCAGTCAGCGGTACCGGTCCAGTCGGTCCCAGTCTAGTCAAGCAAGTTCCATGAGGGACTGTGTGCACCATGGGCCAATGGAAAGGGGCAGACCAACGAGTTACAGAAGTATAAATCAAGAGGCAACGCCCAACCATTCATTCATTCCTGCGGAAGCCATGCGGAAGCGCTGCCATAGCGGCTTGTGCGAGGTGGTCTGCAGTGAGCCCGAGGACGAAGTGGGCGAGAAGAAAGTTAGCCATAGCGATATAGCAGCGGCCATAGCCGCCATAGCTGTAGGTGTGTGCGGGTGTGTGCGAGTGTACAGGGTGTTGCGTGTGGGATATCCAGGGTGATCCTGTGTGCGAACAGCAGTGCTGAGTAAGTGACGAACAGAGAGTTGTACCGGCGATGTGCCGCCATAGCTGTTTGAAGTGAACTTGTATCTGAGCTGCGTTCTTGGTACTATATCTCTGAGTTCTGAGTGGGCGCTTGACGCCAGTTTGCTGCGCAACCTGTTTGCATACATGTGAAGTGTGAATGAAAGCGAGTCTAATTGCACATTTAAGGAGATCCCCCGTAACTCCTCGGGAATTATTTAACATTGCAGACAGGACGATGCGATCAGCAAGTCCTCTCAAGACTTAGACAGCTTGTTGTGCAGCCCACAGCTCGGATTTTGGGCCTACCGTGCCACACCGAGCATCCCGCCGGTCAGTACCGGTCCTTGGGAGGGTTCGTGTCCTTCGGGGCAGTCGAGTCGTCAGACACGGCCTTTAGCCCTACTCAGCCCGTGTGGGTTTGGTCAACAAGGCTCTATCCTTCATACATGGAGTTCCTATCACCTGGACAGAAGAGACTCAATGCAGAAAGAAGAGACAGACAGACTCAGCAAGTACCATGGGGTGAGTGCACATCCATAGGGCGAGGGGATAGGCTGAAGGCTTGGCGAGAATATACCAACTCCAGCTTGGTCAAATTCGTGGTCAACAGCTCTGGTCAACACCTTGGTCAACGCTTGGTCAACGTCGGTCAAACCCCCGGTCAACACTCTAGTCAACCTCGGTCAACACCTTGCTCAACGCCTGAGTCAACTCCCAAGTCAACTTCGGTCAACCCCTTGGTCAACGCGTTGGTCACCCTCAACTTAGCTATGGCTGCCGCCCCCTTTTCTTCCTCGCCAACCTCCTTATCCTCCTCCTCCTTCCTTCTTTCTTTCTCCTTTTTCTCGCGTCACCCCGGCTATGGCTTCCTCCACTCTCGTTGTCCCTCCTCCTTCCTTGTCTATGGTTTCTCTCTCCTTTGTCTCTCCTCCCTTCTCCTTCGCTTCACCTTTCTCTCTCCTTTGTGATACCCTGTGTCCGAGCGCTGCGGCTATGGCCGCTTTCTTCTTTGGACCGCACAACAATCTTCTCTCTCTCTCTCTCTCTCTCTCTTCGTCGTTGTCTTCTGTGCAGGTACTCAGCACCTCACTCCACAGAGCAGCTATGGCGGATCTTCTTCGATGGTGCGACTTGGCTATGGAGCCTAACTGGGGCGCGCATCTCCTTCCCGCTGGCAACGACGATGGCGCGTGGGGTAACGGGAACCTCGCTCTGATACCAATGCAATCAGACGTGCTTTCTTCCCACTTCGCACACATGCAAACAGATGGAGACTCACACTGGTGCAGGGCGCCCACTCAAAGCTTAGAGATATGGAAATCAAGAACACAGTTCAGATGCAAGGTCTTTTCAACAGGCTATGGCGCATCAGCGCCTGAACATCCCAACCTTCGTCACTGTGTCCAACCCCACTGTTCACACACGCTCACTCTGGATCACCTTGAATACCACCACACACATACACTGTCTAACTTCCTCCTACAGCGGCTGTGGCCGCACTACCACTACTGACTATGGCTGCGATCTCCCTTCAGCCCACTTCGTCTTCGGGCAACCTGCAGACCACCTTCTCACAAGACGCTGTAGCAGCGCTTCCGCATGGCTTACGCAGCGAATGAATGAATGGCTAGGCGCTGCCTCTTGATTTATACTTCTGTAACTCGTTGGTCTGCCCCTTTCCCAGGCCCTTGGTGCACACAGTCCCACACGGTACTTGCTTGACTGGACTCTGACTGACTGGGACCGGTGCCGCTGACTGCATGGGTTTGCACTGCCAACTCGATGCAGTCACACTGCCAACGTAAGGCAGTTGGCTCACCACTTGCGCACTTGCCTCTGACTAAAGGCCTACCACTTGCCCACTTGCCTCTTGACTAAACATGGGACACTTTGAAAAGCCACTTCCGGACCTTCCGGAAGGCTGTGAACTTGGCCTTTCCGGTCCTGTAGCAGCTACGACCTTTTCCTTTCAGGACTGTAGCAGCTACGACCTTGACCTTTCAGAGCATCTACAGCCACGACCTCTACAGAGCTGTGACTCCTAATCGACAGACCTACAGATCGAACCCCTACCGCTACACGGACCTACGACAGAGGACAAACAACTAACAAAACACAGATCACGGGTTCAAACACTCAGGGGTCGACTCGATACCTCACATAGGCAAAGTGAGGTCTGGGGATCGAACTCTAGGGCCCGCATCCGTGACTGCCGAAAGGTGAAAACCGTTTCAGGCCCTCCGTTTCAGGCTGAAAAGACTCAGGGCCTGGAGGGCCCTGTTTTAGGCTGAAACGACATAGGGCCTGTACGCCCTCGTTTTCAGGCTTTCAGGCTGAAAACGACACAGGGCCTGTAGGCCCTTGTTTTCAGGCTTTTAGGCTGAAAACGACACAGGGCCTGTAGGCCCTTGTTTTCAGGCTTTTAGGCTGAAAACGCTGGTTGGGCCCTGGAGGCCAGTGTGGCTGCGCAGTATGCCACATCCACCCAGTGCAGCTATGACTGCCGCTGGCGGAGCAGCTAACCTGCAGCTGCTCCTCCCTCCTTCCTCGCGTACATTATGAGCAGAGCTAGCGCTGGCGTCCAGTCCCTCTGAATGTGCAGAGTGCCGCGGCTTCCTTCCTCTTGTTGTCAGAGCCTGCAATCAGGTGGGCCTTGGCTGCAAACCGCCCAGCCCGGCTACAACCAACGCACCTGGTCCAGGTGCAATTCTCAAAGAGGTAGCCCTTGCTGTACTGGCCACGTGGTAGGATAGCCCAGTCATGGGCCACAGTTGGGTGGAAAATTTGTCAGGTGACCTGTCATACATTTATTTCTCAATATCAAACGCAGATGTTTACCCCACATTTACCGTTACCCCTGCCCTGGTGGCAGCGCATTTGCGCCCACGCGCAAAAAAAGGTGCAGGCCAACGGAGTTGCCTGAGCTGCCCTGAACACAACGTATGAGACTGCAGTTACTAATATGCATACAGTCGTTTGAACATTTTCACAAGAGCCTGAGTTCTGAACTAGGTTGCCATTGCAGTCTTTGTGATGCAGGGCAAGCTTGGTTCAGGGTTCTAAATTTCGGACCTTCCACTCAAACTTGTTGGGACGGGGGAAAGGGAACCACACAGGGAACGACGTTAGGAGGGGTGGCGGGGACAGTGACTGAAGCGACCAGGGAAGAACACTGCGCGTACACCCAATTTCAGCTCGCAGTGGGCTACCGTGAAGTCAACGAGGTGGGGAAGTGAGCAGTGGAGTGACTTCTTCCCCACACATGAGAGAGAGAGAGAGAGAGAGAGAGAGAGAGAGAGAGAGAGAGAGAGAGAGAGAGAGAGAGAGAGAGAGAGAGAGAGAGATGACCCAAAAAGGGCAAGGCATTGACGTGGCATAAGTATCTTCATTTCTCTTTGCACAGGTGGGTTACGGGTGGGGCGTGGGTGGGTGGGTCTGGGCAGGCCACCGGTGGATGTTGTGCGAGTTCTGGCTGGCTTGGGTGCGGTTGAGCAGTGTTTGGGGTTCCCGGCCAGGCCGGGGCCATGTGCGAGGATCTGGGTCCTCGGCAGGCCTAAGGGGCCCCTGTTGCATCTGCACCCGCCCTAAGTGAAGGCGGGCCTAATAAATCACGAGAAATCCTCGGCTGTTAATTTTGTATTTGGGGTCCAGGCAGTTTCGTCGTGCCAGTTGGTTGAAGGAAACACAGGCCGAGCAGCAAGGAAATTCCACGGCCTTCTAGGCTTTTCCAAAAGCGCAGGCCCTGGGCGAGATTCGCAGCCTCGTACACAGACAGTTGGGAGGCCCAACCGAATGAGGCCCAATCCTGAGGCCTACCGGAAGCTTCTGGGCCCAGGCTCAGGCCAGCCAGGCTGCGAAAGCGGGCAGGCTCTTTCCATATAGGAAAGAGCTCGCTGCCTGGAGCGGCATTCAGGCACTTGCTGGCTGGTGGCAGCGCTGCTGGAGCTTCTGCTGGCGTGCTGGCTCCTAGCGCTGGAGCAAGGTGCTGCGCGCGTGCCGTCGTGTGTGGAAGCAGGGCGCTGCTGAGGGCAGCGCCATAGCACAGCCTCCATAGCTGGCTGACGGCTTGGCTGTACAGTGAGGC